CCATGTATGCCTCGTAGTCGAGTGTAGATTCTGAACTCTCCCATTCGTAGGCTACACGCAGCATAGGATCGATAGGAAGAGAACAATGGTCGAGCTCACTCTCATCGGTCGATAAAATCTCGGATGTGGACATTTCACCTACAACGATGCTCATCTGTTGGGCCATCGTGTTATTCGCCGTCTGCTGCATTGGTGTGCTAGAAAGACTGAAAGCATCGTCGAAGACATCATCCAGGGTAGTCGGGGTTCTTTTCGGAAGGGATTTGGACAAAGAAAGTGCCGTACCAGGCTGGGTGACGGGTCTGTCGCAGATGTCGGACGTGGCATCGGAGCTCCCCTCGATGCCGATTGCAAGAGCTGTGCTGCACAGACGGTGTCTCTTCCTCTTCAATCCGCTGCGGGCTATTTCAAGCTTGATACTCTGTGCTTTTTCTTTCTCGAGTGGTCCTCGATCCATCCAGGGAGGCCGAGGTCCGTACCCGTAGCATGCTACGCTCAGGTTTGTGCATGTCTGACATACCAGACGTGTCTCGTCACACTTTTTCCTTCTTAGCCGACATGTCCAGCACCCTTGGGTGCTTCGTGTACCAGCAGTCACTGTGCAGGTTTTAGCCACACATCTCTTGGGAAGCAAAGCTTTCGAAATCCCAACATACTAGTTGGCTGCTTTAGTAGGTAGTTCTTACTCTTGATGCAGAACAATCCAGTAAGGTAGTTCAAGACGTTTGATGAACTGGTCGGGTTGGCAGGCGCGCGTGGAAACCAACTCTAGGCTAGAGACGGCCGGGCATCCAATGATGACGCTGTTTTCTAACAGGTATCAGAGTTTCATGACCCACAAGAGTAGTTGTGAGTTTGGTTGACAGTTTCCTTGACCAGAGAAGACGATGATCAGCCGTATGCCCAACCGAGTCATGGGCGTTCTCCAAGAATGGAGGACAGACAAGAAGCACGCATTAGACAGTCGAATCCAGTCGTGGGATAAATCATAAATATTACAGGCCTGTTCCCCGTGGGGAGCAAATGTGCGAGAACCGTTCCTATTCCCATTGGCTGTTGGTCACATATCCCATTCACAGTCATTGCGGACAGGGACTTACCGTCCGCCATGCCCGTATCTCAGATTTGTTGGCATACTGTTACATGCAAAGGCTGTGCCGCCTGCATCTCGCAATCTTTGATGGGCGGACAACCCGGCCATCATGAATGCAGTGTTGTGTTGGATGTTTGCTCGGTTCTCAGCCAATTGGACCACATTGTTCGTCGACTAAGGCGTCGGTCGCTGTTGAATGAAGCCTGCATCAGTCGCCGGCGCGCCACGGTGGTGCAGCACTTGAGTAAACCCCTCTCAGCTAGCCAAATGGTCTAACCGAGGTATGATATACAGCAAGGTGCAGATATGGAAATCTCCAACACGACGCCCCTCACGACCTCCCCTATCGAGCATTGTATTCCAGCTGTGGGTCTGATAAAGAGCGCCTCTTCTATCTTTTGACCCCAGCCACATCCTATTTGTGGAGGATTGTGTCACGCTACCTACTTATGAATGTGATTTACAGTTGCTGGGCGGGATGGATAACGTGATCTAGTTGACGGACATCCCATCCTCTGATTAATGCAACTAGGGTCTCAGGGTAAAACCGGAGCGTCCCGCGGTACATGTAGACTTTTGTTGTGTTGGCGCTACTCGTACGTTTGGGCGGGAAGCTGTCAGGGGCCGGGACCAGCCCTTGACCACACTCACCTTCCTTCTGGGCCCTTATCCGGACCGCTGCGACTGGAGCGGGAGCGGGAGCCAGAGCATAGGGAGCAGGGATTGAGAAGAGTAGCTGTGTGGAACCCAGCCCACATAACAGCGACACGCCAGATTTGCCGCCGTGATATTGCCTGCGGTCGACACACCAGAAGAATAGCACCATTCGTGTCTGGTTTTGCGTAGATGATTGTCGAATGAGGGCAGACAAAATGTCTCGTTCCCGTTGAATAGCTACGTCGTGGTGTATGGTTTTCGGGCCCTCTCGCGAAACACCACCACGAACTCAACACATATGGACAGCAAAGACGAGACTGAACAGATTCCGCTGGTGGCCGGCGACGACTGCGGCGCCCAGCCAAGAAGTAATTATGTCGGGAATCGGAAACACGGTACCTCGCCTCCTGGACGTCGTTAAGAGGGCAGGCTTGCACCCCCTAGACGACTGTGGGTCGCCTACACTCTCCAACACACTCTGTACGGGGTGTTCTTTTGGCCGAAGCTGAGTTTCCTCGCACATAGATTTCAACCTCCACGATTTCAGCCAAACTTGGGTGTATGTCAATGACGAGACGTATGACCCCGGGGTGATTTCCCAGCAAGATCCATGGGATGAAATCTACTTGCGTATGACAAGTCAACCCTTCCACCAGGAGCGAAGCCAGCAAAGCTCACCAACGCAGAATACGGCATCGTATCGATTAGCGAAGAGTGGGCCGTAGCTCACGGCTTCTGCCCCTCCGCACCCACTCCGGGGGTGATGGGCGAGATGGTTTATCAGGTGGACGTTTTCCATAACCTGCACTGTTTGGTAAGCCTGCCTAGCCGCCCGCAAGAACATGCAAAGCTTTGGCTCTGGTCTAACAACCATTCACTCTGCAGACACGTCTACGAGAGCGATTCCTTTCCAACGACACGAGCTCATCGGACATGCACTCCCTTCATTGCTTCAATCGACTGCGACAGTCGCTAATGTGCAACGCTTATCTCATGCTCGGAGTCACGGAAGACTACGAGGACTACGGCATTCTCGAGACACATACCTGCAAAGACTTTGACGCGGTGGTCAGCTGGACAGAGAGAAACAGTTGGAAAGGCTTTCTCCAATGGACGTACGAGAATAATCGTCCAGGCCATGAGGGCAGACATGCAGAGAAGATGGCGAGGCGATACGATGGAAAGTTGGGAGGTTGATCGGCAGACTTATCAAGCTGTCCGTGTGCTTGATTGCTCTAAATAAAAAGCAAACATTGGGACGCATGAGTAACTAGGTTTCTTCCCCATAAGGGTTTCCCTAGTTAGACAAAACAGCACACATCACTAATACCACCGCCCAGTCAAAAACCTTAGGTCGCAAACATGAATTGTGACATCTATTGATACACCCTCCCTTATCGACAGACCACCAAATAAGTAAGACTGGCCGGCTCGTGCAGGTGCAGCCCGACCCAAGACAGACCTACCTTACCTACCGAAGTAGGTTAGAAACTGCAGGGTCTGACCCATGTATCAGCATGTCGCACACCAGGCGGCAAGCCGAACGCGATGTTGCCGTTGCCCCCGTACAACGCTGATAGTGATCCCCAGGGTCTGAAGCATACAGCACACCACACACGCGTCGCTGTCCAACGTCTTTGTTCCAACAACATTTCGACATATTTCCGAACTTCTCGTCATGAACTTCCTTTCATTTTGCTCCTAGTGTTTACCAAGCTTTAGCCTCTGGAAAAGAAGTTCTGATGTATACGGGCTATTGATCTTACGAATCATCATTATGGCCTGTCCGAACTTCAGCGACTGGACGTCCGGGCCGCGAGTCCATACAGGTTGCCGCTCCTTTGACTTCACTCTACAGTTTGAAGATATCGTTTTCGCATGCTTGCCATGTGCATTCTTTCTTCTGCTTGTCCCACCGAGAGTTGTCCAGCTGCTTCGACAGCCAGTTACTTTCCAGACTCAGTCCAGGCTCTTGGCCAGCAAGTTGGTATGTCCAGCCGCACAATCGAAAACCGCCGTCTATGTGTCTCGCCGACAATTTGTCTTTGACTAACTCCCATTGCAAGGTGGCTACAATTACACTTCTCGCCTTTCAGTGGACCTTCCTGGCTTTGCGCTGCCAGACCTCAGCATCCCAAACTCCTGCGTCCATCGCCGCTGATGTTTTGACTCCCGTCGCCACGCTTGCCGTCTTGCTTCTGTCTGTCCTAAACCATCAAAGATCGCCTCGACCCTCGACTCTCCTCAGCCTCTATCTCTCGGCTTCCATCATACTTGGCATTGCCCGTGTCCGTACGCTGTGGCTCATCTCTGTACGCGGCCCTTTGCCAGCCGTTGCCACAGTCGTGTTGGTTTTCACACTGGTGTTGCTTGTGCTAGAATCTATCGAGGCGAAGAAGAAACTTGCCGCACCCGGTGCCTCTCCCGACGGCAAACATGCAACTCCCGAGCAGACCAGCTGGTTTTCGTCGAGAACTTGCTTTGCGTGGTTAGCGACAACTTTCTACTTGGGATATTCCAGAGTCATATCCCTCAGCGACTTACCGGGGCTCGATTCAAATATGGAGAGCCACGTTCTTCACCAAAGTTTGGCCGTTGCATGGGACAAATGTACGTCTTTCACGCCGGTGTGTTCGTAATGAAGTCTGCAGCCCCCTTGCTAACCTTATGGCTTTATCAGACGACCACCAAAGTCGTCATAGTCTCCTTAAAGCTTGCTTCAGGGCTTATCTTTTGCCCTTCCTAGCTCCTGTTATTCCCCGGCTTTGCCTGACAGTCTTTACATTCGCGCAACCATTCCTCATAAACTCGACCGTAACTTTTGTGAGTAACGGCAACCCAGACGTTAGCTACGGCAGAGGCCTTATTGGGGCCTGGGCTTTGGTGTACCTGGGCATCGCGGTTAGCAACTCAGTTTACCAGTACCATAACCTTCGCTTTACAACTAGGCTTCGTGGAGGGTTAATCGCGCTAGTCTACCAACAAGCTGTCTACACAAGAGACGTCGATACTGGAGATACCACAGCGGTAGCCCTAATGGGGACAGATGTCGAACGTATCTTTGGCGCCATGTCCATGTTTCATACGACGTGGGGTTCGCTACTTGATATTGCCGTTGCCAGCTGGCTTCTAGGACTGCAGCTGTCCCTCGCCTGCCTGGCTCCGATAGTCCTTGTATTGGGTATGTCATGCGCGGCAAATACTGTATGGAGTTCGCTGACCAGACTATGTCCCAGTGTTCATCGCTATAATGTCGAAGATCTCTGTCGCCAGCAGAACAGCCCAGATGCGGTGGATCGAGAAGATCCAGGAACGTCTTCGTGGCATAACGATAGTGCTTGGTGAGATGAAGGCTGTGAAGATGCTCGGGCTTACAGATGTTATGTCGACAACGATTCAGAGACTGCGGACTAACGAGATCAACACATCAAAGTCTTTCCGAAAGCTGCTTGTGGCCACTCTGTTGCTCTGTAAGTCTCTTGTATTCGGCGGCGATATAAATGTCTAGTTCCTGACGGGCAACCACAGCGCTCACCCCTATTAATCTTGCTCCTATTGTTACCTTTGCCGTCTACGTCATTATCTAAGTCTTCTGGAAGAACGAAACTCTTTCACCCGCCCAGGCCTTCGCCTCCATCGCATTGATTGGGCTCCTGACCACGCCCGTTGTCATGTTCATACAGCTACTGCCAATGATTGTCCAGTCGTTTGCATGCTTCGACCGCATCCAAGACTTTTGCACCTACGGCCCCCGACCTCCAGCAATCGATAGTCAAAGTAGCACACTCATCTCGCCGTCTTCGACCGATATCAATCTCGTTCCATTGACAAATGAGGGCGACAGCAAGTTTGTAGACTCGCAGCAGCGGTTTGCCGTCTCCTTCAAAGGGGATAGCTTTGGATGGAAGAAGGATCAGGCTGTGCTTCACGACCTCACCGTTGACATCTCTCAAAACGCAGTGACTGTTGTCATCGGTCCCGTGGGAAGCGGCAAGTCATCTTTCCTTCGCGCAATACTCGGCGAGTTAATACGCATGTCTCCTACTGCCGGTCCAGCCGTTGGAAACCCTCCTGATAAAGGTGGCGTGGCATATTGCTCACAGAGCCCGTGGCTTGAGAACGGAACGGTTCGGCAAAACGTACTCGGCGTTTCACTTTACGACCCGAAGTGGTACGATGCTGTTATCTCAGCCTGCGGTCTCGAAACCGATTTACAAGCATTTCAGAAGGGAGATTACACACCCATTGGTAGCAACGGTGTCAATTTAAGCGGCGGGCAAAACCAACGCATTGTAAGTAGCCGGGCATGCTTTCTGAACGTTACAATTTCGTTGACATCTCATCTTTGTCTCCCTCAAGGCTCTTGCTCGAGCCGTCTACTCGAGGCAGAAGATCATTGTCCTTGACGATGTTTTCAGTGGCATGGATGCCCACACGGCTAAGCATGTCTCGACCTGTCTGCTTGGCACTGATGGTCTTTTGCGTAGGCAACGCGCAGCGATCATCATCGCAACACATAGCTGTGAGTTTTGTTTTCACGTTATGACATTGTAACGGGCTTGCTGGTGAGAATGCAGATGAACTAATGGCCCTCGCCGACTTCATCATCTGCCTCGATGATGGAAGGATACAAGAACTCGGCAACCCCGCAGTCCTCGTGCGAGGTCAAGGCTATACGAGCAGGCTAGGGTTGAAGTTGTCATCTGATGGTGTGAAGGTACATGAGTCTGATGAGTCTGTGACTCCCATTGAGCAGACAGCCACGCCAACCAACGAGAACGAGAATCACCAAGAAGAAAGGCCAAATACCGATATCCGACGCAAGAATGGGGAGAAGGCAGTTTACACATACTATTTGAAGAATGCTGGCCGTAGGGCAGTGGCCCTGTACTCAGTTTCAGTCGTTATGTGGATCTTCTTCTCAGAGTTCTCTAGTAAGTCGGAAACCTCGCATTGCAATCAATAGGGGGGGGGGGGGGGGGGGTGCCAACTGCGGCTGACAATAATTTCATGTGACAACTAGCCGTTTGGGTCAAGTGGTGGTCTGAAGCCAATGCCGCCAAGGCCAACACGAGTGTGGGGTATTACTTGGGCATGTACGCCGTTTTTGGCGTCCTTGGCACTCTGGGAGCTTCTTTGGCTGCCTGGTTCGCATTCCTCGACATCATCACCAATACGGCTCTCAAGCTGCACTCAGACCTTCTCAAGACTACCATGGCGTGAGTTCATATGTACCGCATCATATTACATGTGGGACAGTACTGATCGTATGCCTCTCACGGGACAGAGCATCCTTCCGTTTTCTAACCACAACCGACAATGGCGAGATCCTCAATAGGTAAGTCACATTGGATTATGATTTTTCATTGTAAAGAGGTGCTAATTTGAGGCCGCTCACAGGTTCAGTGAAGACATGCAGCTTCTGGACATGGACCTGCCGTCCAACCTGGTGAATTACACTTCCAGTGAGTATGCCATCCACATGAATATGCAACGTTGCTCACAATGCTTTGCAGCGGCCATATCCGTCTTGGCTAAGCTCGTTATTCTCGCCGTCTTCTCCCAATTTCTCGGAATTGCCCTCCCTTTCATCGCGACCGTCGTGTATCTTCTGCAACGCTTCTACCTTCAGACGTCTCGCCAGATCCGTCTTCTGGGGATCGAAGCCAAGGCGCCCCTCTACACCTGCTTCTCTGAATCCGTGGCTGGTAGTTCAACTATTCGTGCTTTTGGGTGGCAAACCCAGTACCAGGAACGTAACTATCACCGCATTAACTTGTCCCAGAAACCAAGCTATGTTCAAAGCTGTATTCAAGCGTGGCTTACGGTTGCTCTTAACCTAGTTGTGGCTGTGCTTGCTATCATCCTCGTGGGTGTAGTTGTTACTTGGTATGATAAATTCAGTGCTGGAAGTGTTGGTGTTAGTCTTGTTATGGTTATTGGATTCAGTGAGGTATTAGCACGCCTGATCCAGAGTTGGACTAAGCTCGAGTCTAGTGTGGGGGCTGTTGCAAGAGTTAGACGGTTCGTAGCAGAGACCCAAAAGGAACACAGTGCAGGCAAGGGACGGTTATCTCGGGATTGGCCCCGTAGCGGGGCTGTCAACTTCTCCAACGTTGTGGCGTCTTATGGGTGAGTGTTCAAGTCCTTTCTCCATCTCTTTCAGTCTCGGAACTAACGTTACGCCAGTTCTGAAGCCGAACCGATACTCAAGGGGGTATCACTTTCGGTGAAGGCCGGTGACCACGTTGCAATCTGCGGTCGCTCAGGCAGCGGCAAGACGTCACTTATCCTCAGCCTACTACAGATGACAGATGTCAGGGAAGGCAAGATTGAGATTGATGGCGTCGACCTATCAACTCTCGTGCCATCGGAGCTTCGTTCTTGCATCAACGTTGTTTCCCAAGATCCTTTTCTCATGCCGGGAACAATCCGATTCAACATTGATCCGCCGAGCGCCGTTTCGGACGACGACGACAACGCGAGGATCACCCAAGCTCTCGACAGAGTTGGTCTTTCGAGACATGTTCAAGAGCAAGGCGGCCTGGACGTAGAGATGGACGATAAAGCTTGGTCGGCCGGTCAGAAGCAGCTCCTCTGCATGGCTAGGGCTATGCTTCGGCAGTGCAAAGTTTTAGTTCTGGACGAGGCCATGAGCAGGTAAGCATTCGTGAAAAACTTGGCCTCGGTATAAAGTTCACGCTGACGTTATCGTTGCCCAGTGTTGATAGCGAGACCGAGGCGGTTATGCAGGATGTTGTTGACAATGAGTTCCGTGACTGCACTGTTTTGGCTGTTATGCACAGGCTCAAGCACGTGTCGCGGTACGACGCGGTTGTGCTTCTTGGTGACGGCGAAGTCTTGGAGACTGGAGAGCCATCGTCACTGATTGCGGGAGATGGCTTGTTTGCTGAGCTTTACAGGATGAACTCGAACTGACCACGTCATTCGATGTGCAGTCGGATGCGCATGAGTCAGGTGGTTCGCTTCTTTCTACAATTCATTTCCTTCAAGAGGTCTTGTCCATATGATATACAGATCAATCATGTTTTTCCAGCCGCGCTGCGCTCTGCACGAGCGATTCCATTCTTCTGACACTTTGGCCTTCACTATAAACATTACTTCCTAGGTAATTGCTCAGATCACATGATAGATGAAGTTGCATTTGTGCATTAGCCGTTCAGGACAGGATTATACCAATTGAAATGCCTGCTCAGCCGTGTCTCCGGTCAACCCAAAAAGGACAAATATGGCTCCTTCTCAGACGCCACAGTCGGGGTATTTCACGGCAATCCGAGTGTTTATGATATCGGGTGCAATGTTCCTTCCCGCCAACAACATGTGCTCGCAGTGCTTCGTGTGCTCATACACTACTATGTATCCGTCAATTGCCTTGACCCCGTCTCCGTTCCCGAGTATGATGGCCCGGTGCATCTTCTTCCACATTGCCGTACAGTGCCGCACGTGGTACTCCCAGTTGACATAGAGCCCTGTATACTCGCCCGTCATAATTTGCTCATGGCTCAGGGGCGAGGTGCGATTGGGGTCGAGGAACCATTCCAGGTGATTGGCTTCGTCGAACTCGCGCGACAGTTCTGCGTCGTAACATTGACTTGGGAGCCAGCAAAAGGATATGACGTCGAAGTGGCAGCCTCTTTCCCTGGCTTCTTGAGGCGTGTTGCCGCAGGGCTTGATCATGACCTTTGGGCCCCTTTTGTGATGTGTGTCGCTCAGGATCGTCCTGCAAATGGCGTGTTCGACAACCCCAGTGAAAGCAAGAAGTACGATGACAACCGCTGCTAGTAAGGGCAGAGAGAACGCGAATAGGCGCGACGATGGAGAATTCTTGTGATTTGCCGCAGGGACTTGGTCGTGGTCGTCCATGAGCCGTACGATTTGTTCATCGCAAAGATCATCTGATGGTAAGCATTGGCTCGAGGTGTTGTTGAATGACAATCGTCTGAAAACGAATTGTGATGAAATTGCCTTCCAGTGGTTTTCCATATTGGTAAGATGTTGGCACAATAGATTGAGTTCTGCAACTAGATGTGCTTGACGACATACAAGGAGCTTGACGACGGAGATCATAGGCTCAGCTCAGTGAGCGAGCAAGTTCGAAGATAGCGGCCAAAATTACACCATGGGATGGTCAATACGAACCAAAAATCAAAATTCAACCTCTTTGCGGGGTTATCGGCGGCAAACTGTCAGGTCAGCTTTTGACGCCGCCGCATTGCGCATGGGCGTGACGCCGGCGACAAGCTGATACCTTTTCGGCGCCACGCCCTTGTTTCTCAAGAATGTTGACGGCCTTCGAAAACCAATCGATCGGGTTTACCTTTACCTGCTAGACCTGCCTGCTAGTAGTGCCTGTTCCAGGAGTCCGCCAGTTGGTTGTGTGGTTTCTCGTGAATACCTCACTCGTATCGGGTTTTCCATCAACGACCTTATGCCAATTCCGGCGGATGACCGAGCTGCAGTGCATGGCATCAAGAATGCAAGATTTACACCAATATTTCAAGTCGAATTCCAATGATTTCATCAAAGCGACATATGAATCGACAGAGGCCGTTTCATAGTAGTGGATGAGGCACCCTTCGAGTTGCTACTTGGGTCTCAAAGCTTTTTTGACGGACTACGGACACACCTATCCTGTCTGCCTTTTCTCCGACCTAGCGACAGTAATGGTGAGTGATTGCATCACTACCAGGGATTGCATTTGAACTCCTGATATGATTCGCGACCTAGATATAATTTAATAAGACCGTCCGGAAGAACAGAAAAGGATTCAAGCTGCACAAGCCCTGGAAGAGGAAAAATATCGACGGGAGATGGCAAGGGTTACGTGAGTCGTGACCGAAAAAGAGGGGCGGCACTATGTGACAATTTCCTCTGCGGTCTCAATCGCAACATCGGGAATGACCCAATCCGCTCACGGCTTTGAAAACCGCAAAGCCGACAACGATAGAGACAACTACATTATGCGATGCAACCCTCGACATCAAATCCATGCATTTCCATTGGCACGGGGAACTTTGAAGTCAGATAGCCGTGGAAGTCCGATCTTGGGGCTGATGACCTATCTTACCAAAAGATTCATGCTCATAGGCAGCAAGGCGCCTAGTCGTATTCTCCGCTTGTACAGTCGACATGGTGACTGAAATCGGATGCGGCTTAATGAACACTGCGTAAGTAGTGATCAATAGGTACCTTGGTGATGAAAATAGAGGCGACTGGAGACGGGGATGACGATAGCGGATAATTTAAGCACAGGAACATTGGTAGATAGCCTCTCATCGCTTCCTTTATCAACTTACCACCCTGTAGCCGGTTGGCTCATGTCAAGAGATTGCAGCACCAAAACCTCCCATCACAATCGACAATTGCCATTCTGAAGGTGGAAATGTCTCAATTGCGTCATAACCAAGTCTGGCAGCTCATCGTCTCATCTCCCACAAGCTTGGGCCGTCGCCAAACGAGCACAAAGCGCGGCCCCATGGCGGAATTCATGACATCCCTCCGCATTCGAAACCCCATCAAAGCCGAAAGCCGATACACGGCTTTGAATAATTTCCCCAAATTCCACAGCAAAACTCCACGACCCCAGACTCCCGATTGTCGTTACTCAAAATTCCCCATGTTCAGCAGGGGATGTGTGTAATCAGACCGTCTTTCGTTGGCTCACATGCCCAAGTGCGAAACGAATGCGGGGGCGGGGGAGAGGGAAAGCCACCCAGCCCACCGCATCTTCGATGTGAATCTTGGGGTAAGCCAGGCTATCTGCGGTCCCCCGCGGTTCTTTGACGTCTCTTTCCCCCGTGACTAGCCGCTTACGTGCCCCGACAGTCCCGAAACAGGAAGGTTGGCGGGCGCGCTGTGATAAGACGAAGTATTCAAGGCCAGCCATGGCTGGGGGCAGACCTTCGGCTTTGAGAACCGCTGAAAGCCGAAGGTAGGGTTCAGATACTTTTTGGCGGCACGGCGTAGGGACGATGTCAGATTATCGGCACGGACGGGAAAGACGGAATTGGAGTTTTTGGTTTTAAGGGCTCATGGCCCACGGGCGTTATCTTCGGACAGTTTTGGATTGGCCTCGTGATCTTTCTTCTCTTTCTGCCAGTGTCTGTCGGGAGGATTGATTTCGGATATCATCATACACAAGTGACCATGGCGCCAAAGACAAATCATATTTGGCTCTGGCTGGGTGTCGCCGCCGTCGGATGCGTGCTCTATGTGAGAATCACCAAAAAGAGATGCTGCATCAAGATGTAACTCGAGCTGACAGAAGGAAAGGTCGCCGGCATCGTCGCCTACCGTATCTTTTTCCACCCCTTGGCGAAATACCCAGGTCCGTTTATCGCGAAGATCACAGATGGCTACCAGCTCTACCACGCATGGAAGGGTGACCGCCATCTAGACTTTCATAAGCTTCACAGCAAATATGGTGCGTCTTTCCCCTTTCACACTGCACCCAGACCTTCTCAAGGCCACCGAGGTATCACAGAACACTGGTTGATTGTCGATGTAGGCAAAATCGTGCGCTTCGGACCCAACTCCGTCTCATTCAACTCCGCGACATCCCTCAAGGAGATCTACGGCTTCCGCTCGAACGTTCGGAAGGCCGAATTCTACAACGCCTTCGTCCACCCCGCTGCGAACACACACAACACCCGCGACAAGGAGGTTCACGCCCGCAAGCGCCGCGTCCTCGCCCACGCCTTCTCAGACAGCGCCATGAAGGAGATGGAGCGCTATATCCTCGGCAACGTACGCTCCTTCACCACCGAGATCGGCCGCGGAGGCTCTCCCGACGCCAAGGGCTGGTCTTCCACTAAGAACATGGCTGACTGGTGTAACTACCTCGCCATGGATATCCTCGGTGATCTGTCGTTCGGCAAGGCATTCCACATGCTCGAGGCCCCTGATAACAGGTTCGCGTTGGATTTGGTTGCGGCTGCGACCAAGAGGCATCTTATTTGCGGTACAATGCCGATCGTCGACAAGCTCAAGCTCGACAAGTTTCTCTTCCCGACGATCGCGGCCGGTCGCGCGAGGTACATGGCATACAGCAAGGGACAGCTGACGGAGAGAACGAAGCTGGGCGAGGATACCGACCGCAGAGACTTCTTCTACTACCTCCTCAAGGCGCGTGACCCCGAGACTGGCCAGGGATTCTCCACTCCTGAACTTTGGGGAGAGTCGAACCTGCTGTAAGTTCCTTTGACAAATGCTCGTTTTGAAATGCATACTAATGCAAACAGCATCATTGCCGGTTCCGACACCACATCAACCGCCATGGCCGCCACAATCTTCTACCTTGTCCGCAACGCCGACGCCCTCAAGAAGGCCACCGAGGAAGTCCGCAGCAAATTCACCGACGTCGAGGAGATCCGCCAAGGCGCCGCACTCAACTCCTGCACCTACCTCCGCGCCTGCATCGACGAGGCCATGCGTCTCTCCCCCTCCGTCGGCGGCCTCCTCCCCCGCGAGGTCCTCAACGGCGGCATGACCATCGACGGAGCCCACATCCCCGCCGGCACCGTTGTCGGAACGCCGCATTACACCATCCACCACAACGAGGACTACTTCCCCTCGGCCTATTCGTACATCCCGGAGCGCTGGATGGTCGGCGCGACAAACCCGGTCAGCGGACGGCAGACGACCGAGGAGGACGCGGCGAGGGCGCAGAGCGCGTTCTGTCCGTTTTCGATCGGCGCGAGAGGGTGTATCGGCAAGGGACTCGCGTACGCTGAGATGTCCACCACAATCGCGCGGACGTTGTTCCTGTACGACATGCGCAAGGCGGTCGGCGTCGTTGACCCGGCTGAGGGACGGGCGGATCTGGAGGAGGGAAGGAGGAGGGTTTCGGAGTTCCAGCTATTCGACACGTTTACGAGTATGAAGGATGGTCCGTTGGTGGAATTCCGGGTGAGGGCTTAGGGTGAGGTGCCAAGCTCATGATGTCTTGGTTGGTGTTCTTGGAAGAGCCTGAATGTTTCCATCATGGCCCCAGGTTGGCAAATATGGCCGGACTTTGTTGTGGGGTTCAATTGAGCATTGGCAGTAACGTATATGAATTGCATGAAGCCTTTGGACGCTGAGTCTTACTATTTCTTGGTTAGCACATGCCAGCACAACAGAAGAAAAAAAATGAATGAAAGAAAATGATTGAACCATAATACATAATGAGGGGCAAGTGGGGATAGTCCTCGTGAGCTCTTGTCCGTCCGAACTTGCGCACCATTCAGAAGCTTCTGTCAGCTCTTCTCCAACTGCCATATCCGGCTCTTGATCGGCAAACGGGGAGCTCCCTGTCAGGTACAGCCCCCATTCTCACCCGTCATGCCGTCCGAACCTTGTGTCTGTTTTCTTCAAGCTAAGTGTCAGATATAAGGCGCCACAATAGCTCCGCAATTGTGGGTCCCACTTTTGGTCTGACAGTTATGAGCCCAGAGTCTCTACGGTTAACGTGTACAGTCGTGCGCCACAACAAGGACCTAGAGCCCTCAAGTTCGAGTCCC